ACAGAGGGTAATGCAGGCCAAGCGTCGAAAGCCTCGAGTTCCAAGGTGACATGGCAGCGTGACCCTTGAATCGGGACCGCCTCAGGAGCCTCACGAGACTAAGGGCTTCGGGTCTTGGGGTTTCGGGGATCGGGGAGCTCTTAACTTGTCTTACGGTTTGGGGCGTGGGGTGGAAGGCATACTTTATGGCCGGTTCATGCGTGCAGGTACAGCCAGGCCCTTAGGCCCAAAGCATAGACTTACTCTTCGGGGATGTAGTTCCATTTCTAAAGCGGCCTGCCGTATGCGGCATATTGTGTTGATAAACAACTAGTAGCTAGACATGACTAGACTCTATACGGGCATGACACAAGGATGACACGGTCCACCCTGGGACTCATGAGGACTATCCACAAAACGCATGTTCAGAGGATGCTGAAACCATGTGTCTTATTCGAGCTAGTTAGGTAGTGGCTTCTGTTGTGATATCGGTGGTGGTGTTGGCTGCTTTGTCGTCGTCGAGGCTGTTGCTGCCGTGGTTGTCCTCGTGGTTGTCGCTGTTCGATGAAAGAGGTTGGGACCGTGGTTCGTTTCGCAGTTTCGGCCGTGGTTCTTGAAGCCCATGGTTCTCCTACTGTTGCTGATTCTGTCGTTGCTGCCGCCGTGCTGTAGTTGTTGCTTCTGCGATGGCAATCGGTGCGGCTGAAATTGCTACTGCTACTGCTGCTGATGATGATGATGTGTTACAAATGATGATGTGATAGCCGCTAGCCCGGCGCTGGTGTTGCTGCAATGAATGTCCTGCAGTTGGCACTAGCTGAACTAGCTATCTCGCTCACCACCCCCGGTACTACCTGTAAACCTGCCACCTCTACTCAGCCTTATCCCTGCAGCCCTGCACTTCTCCTCCTGCGACAGCGGCCATCGCAGCGTCATCTCAGAGCTGTTTCCGACTTGGAGTACATGCTGCACGAGGTCGATGGCCTCAATGTTCTGAGGCTATGCCTCTGCAAGGTTCGCTATACTCCACAACATCGCGACCGTTCGAAGTGCCTTTGGTGAACCTCTGAGCCGAGCCGGAGATGTGCAACAAAAAGGCGGAACGGAAGGCTGCACAAATCCATGCACTGCAGGCAAGGACTTCCGCCTCTGCAGCTGTGAGCGATATATGTATCATGGGTACTACTACTATTTCAACGCAATTCTATCGTTCTCTTTCGGATGTTCGCTCCGTCCCAAACCCTTGCTATGAGCCCTTGTCAACCTGCAAGTCTTGTGATTGTGTCGGGGTTCAGAAGCTGCCAAGGATCCCCGGGCCCTCGTCGCACGTGCCGGAGCTCCACGTTGCACTGGATTCGCTCCTTTTGTTGCAAGTTCAGGAACAGGAAGATCTGTCTAAACTTCCAATCAAAGCCGCAGGATATGCTCTCTTATGCCCTCATAAAGACCTCAGCTTGATACGTATAGGGCACCCCAATACCGAACCCTAAAGCACGCTAAGCAAAGGATCCTTAATTATTGCAAGGACACCTTTAAAAACACCCTAATTAAAGGGCCCCTGATGGAACCCACAGTTAAAACGCAAGCACTCATCTCGCAGCTCCAGTCTCCACATCTACTCTCTCAAAGGCAGCAAACTGAAGCCAACTTTGCTTCAGCGCTGCGCCAAAAGCCTCCAAATCGATGAGAAAGCTCGCCTGGCAAGGGCAGGGGGAAGGGCTGGATACAGAGGTTAGAATTGAGCTTCAGAGGATACAAGGGTCTAGTCTAGTCAATTATAGTAGAAACCATAATCAGGAACCCACAGGAGTAGCATCAGTAATTCTCTAGCCAGGCTTCTATATATTTTCACTCTCGCAACTCGGGATATATCAGGGTCCGTGACACAACGACCCCGACGAGCCAGGCAGGGTCTGAAGTCTCCGACTTGGATGAAACCCCACGGTGAAACCCAAGGGCCCAGTAGGGGTTTTTGTGCCTCCTAACTATGTTACTCGGTTTACACTCTCACAACTCGGACAAGCCAGGCGAGGATTCATAGGTGCAGTAGTCGGCGTGATACATTGATGTGGGGATAGCTTACTGGGTTTAGGGTTTAGGCTTTCGACCCCTTTCCGCCGTCATGTAAATACGCAGAAGGCCAGCCCCCACCGTCCCAGCATACAAAATCCCTCGACGACGGCAGCCCAGCCAACTGAACAGCAACTACGATCGGGGTTCCGGTGAAAAAGATTGGTGTTTGAGGTTCAGGGTGGATTCAGATCTTGCGACGGGCCGGCTGCTATGAACATAACACCTAGTCTTGATCACATCATTGCTCCCACAGACCAATGGGCCAAGTATGAAAGAAGAACCTTCTCCGCCAGCTGCATTGAGCAGAGCATCTCTTCCGCGACTTGGTGTGGCAAGAAGCTGTCCTGGGACCAGACATGACCAGACTGACGACAAACTATTCACTCACGTAGCCGCGAGAAGAAGCGTATGGAGCTCCAGGCATTTTCCTGTGTTCCGGCCAGACAAGAATTCCTGGCCCCTGCAGCTGTTCAGACTGATGCTGCCTGCCAGGTTGGCCAAGCCACTTCTTGCGCACCGATGACGTGCCTCCATGCAGCAGCGGGTTTGGATTCCGTCCCTTTGTTCAAGAGAATCTTGGAATCTCTATATATTGAAAACCCGAACCCCTAGACCATGTGCACTTTTCGCGGCAAAGACACGGTTGCAAGAAGCCTGTATGTTGCACCTTTGCCAGACAATAATGTAAGTCCAAGTGGGTCACAATTCGTGAACAGCGACAGTCCCCAGGCCTGCATGTCGTGGGCTCCAGCACCAAGATATGTTGCGAGTGCCCCTTGCGTCGGATAGCTGGCTCTGTGCATCCTTGTGGATACATGTGTCTTGAAACCCTAAGCTTGTCTGGCAGCCGTCCTGCGTCTTTTGGCTGTGCCATGAGCAAAGATATGTTATGCAAGTTCACGCTTGCTCTGATTGTGGCTCGACTGACCCAGCTGCAATCGCACCCTGATGCCAGATCAACACATGTCTTCGGGCCTTCGGCAGCTCCCACATGTTGTAGCAGATGGCAACCTCGTCACCCCAGCGTGGAGACAAGCCTGATCCATGCTCCTGTGTGCCATCCATTTCAGCAAGGAGCTGTGTTCGGTCTCATGCAACACCGTTGGATGTGTCCCTTGTGCTGTGTCTTCGATACTCTACCATCCACGGAACTTCGACTCACAGTCGATCAGTCTGTCTTTGCAGATGCTCAGTGGGAAATGCAAAACGAAATGAAGTCTCGACAGATGCGACAACATGCTTTCGATCGTGGCGGAACGCTGGGTCCGGGGTGAGTTGTGACATTGCGAGGTCCGCAAGTGACAGGCGAATTAACGGAGCGTAGCATCAACACGGCCATTGCTGTGAGTAGCAATCGGAGCCTGAACGGAGATCGCTCGGGCAACGTCTTACTTGACACATGCTCTATCAAGACCAGCTAAAACCTCGGTGAGACCAAGAGCCGACCCCCTTGCTATACTTTGATCTCATACATCTGCCCTGCCAAAAACAGGCACCCAGGCTGGGCAGGAGACTGCACGATCAGCGACTTAACTCCGAACCTGCCGCAGAGCTCCTGCACCTGTTTCAGCAGCCGGCGATCCCCCAGCAGGTCTATGATGGCTTCCTCAGCCAAGCATGACAAGCTTCAGTGTCTCAGTGTCTCTTGTCTGTATCTCTGCGTTTCTAATCGGGGCGTCCTCAACGACGCTTTCGTGTGTGCTGAAAACCCCAAGAGTCAAGATATCTTGAACTCTAGCCTCAGGGATTCAAAGCCATCATTCCAAGCCTTGAGCGATCAATGCAAAATTTGACTTGACACGTCGGTTTCTGCAAGCCTGTCTCTACCCATTTGGCTGCCTGGTTGCTTGCGTGCCTGGCCGTCTGCATGCCTCTCAGAAGACCCTTCTGTTGTCAAACTTGCGAGGCCTCGTGGCTCATGTGCATCCAAGGTTCTCCATCCATGATCTTGTCAAGATGCCGCGAGGATTGATTGAGCCGCTCAAAGCTGCGACTCTCGGCCGACGAGAGGGAAATCCGCTTCCATGGCTGTTTTGCAGCTCCAGCGGGCTCCAACGTTAGGTTGCCAACTGGACTACAAAGTCGGCCTTCTTTCGGACAATGCGGGTAAGCTTCCAGGGCCGTTTCGGAGACGCCGCAACGATAGCACAATTTTGAGAAAGTCCTGGGGTGCAATCAGACTCAGGGGGCAGCTTGGCAAGACAAGTCAACAACAATGCTTCGCCGGAATTTATACCTGAATCTATGCATGCTTAATTCGCCACCCTACGTCTGGACGTGTCATGGCTGCACTGTCAGGCGCTGCGGCACGTGGTTTACCACTGTCCGAGATCAGGTATCCCATTTTTCATGCGGAAGCGTGGTTCCGTGTCATTTCCGGAAAAAGCATGTTCCGAGAAATATGCCCTAGCTGAAGCTCTGAACTGTGAGAAGGTTTCACCATCCTGTAAACAAACCTTATAACCTTCGAACGAAATATAGGGACTTTAGTACCGCAACAAAAAATTAAGCCTCAGTGCTCAGGCTACTTACTATACTTATGAGCAGGACATAAGTGATGCATCGTGATCTCTTCATCCGGGGAGGTTGCCGGGCCGTGCCGAAGTTTGAGGTCGCCATCAAGAGGGAGACACCTTAACACATCCTTATACTGTATCGGTTCTTGAACCGTTTGAGGCCTACTATAGGGGCCTTAATAATTGGAACAGGGCTTGAGAGTCCACTATATGTAAATATAATCAGGAACCCCAAATAGTATTATTCATGCCCCTATAGCCCCTATATTACCTATTAGTTACAGCGGAGAAGGCCGGTGCTAGAATCTCAACCCGAAGCTCCCCAGTCTGCTTCACCTTGCCCTCAAAGCGTAGAGCCAGAACCTTCAGGGGTACTTTAGGGTTCTATGATAGGTGCCACTTGAGGGTACCACGGGGCCCTTAGAAGACAGCCTCAAACCAGCGCCCCACTCGCCCCAAAGCCGAAATCGCCAGGGTGTAGTCTTTGACCTTGGCAGGACGTCTCGAGTCTACTGTGCGTTCTTGTTAGACCTCAGAGTGTGGATCCTTTGCCAGGGATAGGGGCTTGGGATGCCTTATGGGGTATTGCAAGGTTCCAGTATTAATTTATGGGCTCAGGGTAGCTCATACTACGGCATGTTTCCGACCGTGTGAACATCGGAGTCATGATTTGTTGTGGTGCCGCGCAGTACGAGGAACTCGCAATATTGACTACCGGACAGTAACCAGTATTCAACGCAATACCGACTCAAGATTAATACTGTAGCCTGGCAGAAACGTCACTCCGACTCCAAGCTCCGCTGTCTGTCCAGAGATCTGAGAGCCACACATCTGACAAACCAGCCTGGCGACGTTTCCGATATCTCGAGGGCTCCACACTTATAAACGGACGGCCAGAGAAAGGGCCCGCATGCGGTATCCTCATCTCGGCTTCGTGCAGATGTGAAGCGCTACGCAGGTGTGGGACACAACATCCACAGGGCGCCGAGCAAGCCGTGGTATCACATATCCCGGCCATGCCCGCGAATGAACAAAGGGCCAGAACATGAAAGCAACACCGAAACAAGCCGATCATTCAGGGCAGTAGCTGGCCTGGTCCCGAAGAAGCGCGACAATTTCGACGACTTTCCCCTCTGGAGTGCCCCTCTGCTTGAGCCTGGCATGCAATGTGGGTCGTCAGAGCATTTCAAGGGACTAAAACTGAAGCACTGGCTGTGAGGAGTCCATATCTCATTCATCGGGAAGATAAGTAGGCAAATAACATCCCTTCCCATGCGCAGGATCCAGAAGGAATTTGAATCTGCGCTGCCCTATGCATACAACGACTTTGGAACATGAGCCCGGGTGAAAGTGTGGCAAGGATACGAGGCTTAGTAGGCGGCCACAGCGGGGGAAAGCGGAGCTGATGACCACGCTGTTTCCAAGACCGTATGTGACGAGTGTAATGAGACAATGATGGCTAGGACGAGCTGGCTCAATGCATGACTGATGGATGGATGGACGGACGGAGGGATGGATGAATGGCCGGGACATACAGTCATACATACAGACATGCAGCCGATTGCAAGCGTGCAATACATGCACGCATGCATAGATACATACATACACTGTTATGCATCTGGTCCCCAGGAATGACAGTCAGAAAACATCTACAAGCATGTAAACGCGCGCCATGCTATGTTGTGGGCAAGCACCATGATGTTACGTCACTACACAGCATCCGCGCGATGGTTGCTTTGCTCCTTGGTCGGTGTGGTCATTTCAACACTACATCATGAACTGCCGATCGACTTCGACTCCCGGGCAGGCGTTGCAGGTTCACCGCTCAGCAATCGCGCCGGGAGCGGCTGTTGCAACAGCTCCCGATGCGAGAGCTTGTGTGCCCTCTGTAGAACAGACCTCCGTCGGGGCACGTGGTTGAATGGATGGCCTGAGGATGCAGCTCAGCACATATCACACGTCTAGTCGCGTCGGCGACAAGCAGAGGAAGTAAAGAAAGGTTTCTTAGACTTGGAAAACAGCAAACGGACTAAACACAGCGCAACGAATCGATGCTACAGTGCTGCCAGCAGCAGCGGCAGCAGCAGCAGCAGCAGCAGCAGCAGCAAGAGCAACTACAATAACTACAAGGACAACCACCACCGACGTCAATACATCAACATCATGATCAACAGCAACAATTCAACCACGTCGACGACTAGAGCGACTACAGCAAAGCGAACTGCAACAGCCATTATGACCCATGATGGACGACAATCACACATAATCATACATGGCAATACCAAAAGTACGACGACGATGGAGGCAGCAGCAACGACCGGCAACAAACACCAACAAGACCAGAAGCCGCATAGGCGAAGAGCAACCTAGGGCCATCGTCAACAACTTGAACATTCATGCAGCTGTCTCCGTCTCTGTTTGCATAGTCCCCACGTGATGACACGAGCCGACAAAGGGCACATGCATATGGATACAAGTGAGAGCGTGAGAGACAGAGAGAACAAAAACTTGAAGACGAAGACCAACAAGCACTCATGCTCAGGCACACACACACACACACATGCACACTCATAGATTCACATGCCGGTGAATATAGACAGACAGTCGCTCACTCAGACACAAGCTCACGAACTGACTCACTTACTCACTCGCAATCCCTCACTCACATTCGGAGCCAGCCCCTCTGCGATACCTGCATTTCAAGCATATAAAAGAACCACATAAGAAGTCTCTACGAACAGGTCCTCGAGATGATTCTGCACTTCAGTTCTTGGGGTGACAACTGTTTGCTGCCAGACCAGTCGCGCACACACACACACACAGACACAGTGCCTCTCGGTCTCAATCAGCTGGGGCCCCGACGGAAAGCGTCCACCTTTCGGCATCCACCATCATGGCTGCGGCTTTCACGGGCAAGTCTGCAGAAAGCAGGTATCTGCATTCAGTCCATCCACATAACAGGGTGATAGAGTCTGCACTTCCAAGTCAAGTTCAGGTTTAGAGATCGTCTTTAGGCGTGCATGTGCCATGTCTCAGGTCTAGAGCCTCACTACTCGCACAAGCCAAGCCGTGAGCTCCCGATCCATGAAGTTCTGCACGCGGAATACATCGCACTAGTGGTGGAACTGCTCCGTACCGGCACAGTCATGCAATAGAAGCGATGATCGTATAATGCCGGGAGTAGCGGAACCTCCTCAATTCTCCCTAAACCCTATATACCCTAAATCCGGCTCTAAATCCATCTTCCCTCGGAGGTGCTCAGATGTCTCTTGCAGCTCAGCCAGTAAGTTTTGTCTGACCCTGAACCCTGAACCAGTACCCTTACGAATCCTTGACGGAACTCTTGAAGGCACTTGTAACCATATGATGCCAGCACCTGGCAGATCTTTCCACCTGAGCTTTCGAGGTTTAGCCGCAGGTCCGGCAAATGGGCGAAATGCCTAACTACTTTAAAATTTAAGACAATAGGAGCTTTCGACTGGATGGCCAGGCAGACCGAGAGCTGCCGTAGCAAGCAAAACTAATAACTGTATAGCTCCTGGTTCTGCATCCCCAGGCAGGCTTTTCTAGTTGAATGCCTTGAACCTTTTTTTCATTATGGCTAGGCCGGTACATGAATGGCAGGCAAGCAGAAGGAACGCGCTTTGTTTTGAGGTGTATCGTCCAGCAAAGTTGGACTCAGACTAGCATTGAGATTGTGGTTCGCAGCGGATGATACAGTCGTTGCGACTGGGCCGGATCAAGCATGCAACCCAGGCATCCAGATGATAGCAAAACGACACGCAATAAACAGATGAAAACATTCCGGCTGTTGAGGTTCGTCTCGGCTTGCATGGCAGCACCTGGCCTGGGCATCCAGCAAATGCTTCTGCATCGGATCCAATTCCCGGCTTTTGAGCGAAGGCTACATATGCCGTCATCTGCGCACGCTAGCATCCACGCACGCACAGCTACGTGGATAGCTAGAGAACAGGTTGATGGACAGAAGGATAACAGATAGAAATAAGAATAGGTAGAATGGTACATCGAGCCCGAAACCCTGAACATCTCCTCCCCTCTGCGCAGGGACCAAGTGCTTCCACTAGCCGAGCGCTCATCCCTCCATCGTCCATCGTCGGGAATTGGTCCCAAGTTCATGGAACCATGTCTACATCGAAGTACGAACATACAAATCTTTGGACGTGCTCTTTGAAATGACCGCAGAGGGCACTGGCTTCGACTATTGCTTGATATCAGCTACACTAGACAAAGCATATGCTCATACTTCTTGTGAACGGTTTCGGTCTGGTGGGGCAAGCCGGGAGTCTTGTGATACGTTCAGGGTCGGAAGAGTGTGGACCGTTGCCTCTCTTCTTTGTGCAGTAAAAAGGTGTTATGTGTGTGTATATATATATATATGTGTGTGTGTGCACGCGTATGCTGAGTCTGCAATTATATAGTCTATGTACTTGTGTGTGTGTTTGTACACACACATCAAAAAGTGTATATATATATATATACATACATATATATATATATGTGTGTATATATATATATGTGTATATATATATATATATATGTGCGCACCTGCATACGTGTATGTATATATGTACATGTGTACATGCATATGTATCGCTGATCACGACACATAATTACAAGCATTCTAGGACACAGGTAGGCCGACCCAGGACTCCTTAGCCCTAATGTGAAGTCTTCCCAGGTACCACCGGAACCGTGGCCATCCGCAGGATTAAAGAATAAGCAGCTACATATATATTACGTGTCTACAGATAAATCTACACAAAAATAAATGCAAGAAGTCGAAACGGGCGAAGGAGTAGTGTTACACAATCCTTGGCTGCAAAGATCTGGCAAGTATCTAGGCACACTGTTCTGTGCGGTCAGACAGCTTCACAGACCGGGCTTGAAATATTCTCGGCATGTAGTAGTATACAGCTAGCATTCGAAGGGAGCGATGAATCACCGCTATTAATTATGAGTTTCGGTGTCTTCAACCCACGAAGCGCTAACATCGCACTCAACCAGCGGGGTCATCAGCTAGCCAGGCCCACATGTTCGAGCGCTGGGTACCTGACGGCTGTGTTGATCTGCGCACTTTCTGTGTGGACGGCGGGGTGAGCAGCTGTCAGATCCTGTCGGGATCGTTCCTTTTTCCGTGGGCTCGCGCGGACAGACAGCTTGTGACCCTCACTCTCGACATTGCTGAACAACTTACTAATAGCACGATCGAAGTCAGCATTGCTACCGAAAGTCCACTGTCTCGCTTGTGGCCTTTGCTGTGAGCTTCACTGAGGCCCTTTCGAAGTCCCTGTCTTCGTTGTACCGATCACTAAGCACATGTAGCGAGCCTCCATCTACGCCGCTCTTGAGCTTGCCCAAAGCGCGCTCGAAGTCGCGATCTTCGTTGTACCGCGCACTTAGCACTTCCAAGGTGCTCTCACCTGTCCAATGAGGAAGTTTCTGGACGGCCCGCTCAAAGTCTCGGTCCTCGTTGTCACGCTCGGACTCTCCATGTGATGCCCTCTCTTGGACAGGATGCGACAGGGTGCGATCACCGACTCGAAAGATATCGTATGGCATTCCCCCCAGGATCCGCTACAACACAACAACATCACCACAATTACAAATCACAGCGCTGTCTCACAATCATGCCACTCCACCCATCATCCATGGCGCTTCTGGACTGATTGTCGAGGCTGGCCCACGGGGCAAATCTTCATAGACGTCTCCGCATCAAGACACAAGAGCAGAGATTTGGCTTCAAATGTCCGGGTCTCCATGACCTCAAAGAACAGCATTTTCTCGCAAGAGACATCTGGTCCCGATCGAACGCAAACAGCGACAGACAAAAAGAGAGATATGGTTTGGCATTCAAGCATTTGTTTGCAAGGGACGCGTTTGCTTGCCTGAATGCATGGTTCAATGCCTGTGTTACAACACCTTCTGTGACACACGCGGCAACAACTAATTTGACAAACAATCAAACAAACAAGCAAGCAAACATACGTACACCCATGCATGCATACAACCTTACATGCACACATGCATGCTTACATGCAAACATGTAATGTATGTATTATACTTAAAAGCATACATAATCTTACAGATATAGGCACATACATACATACATACATACATACATACATCCATGCATGCATGCATGCATGCATGCATGCATGCATGCATGCATGCATGTATACATACATGCATACATACATGCATGCATACATGCATGCATACATGCATACAAACATGCATACGCACATACATACATACATACATACATACATACATACATACATGCATGCATGCATGCATGCATGCATGCA